AAATAAATAATCGATTAAGAAGGTCAAACCCATGCATTTCTCTTATATGAGATTGGCAAAAAGAACTGAGTTTAAGAAAATGAGGCTGGGGCAGAGAAGAGGGGATACAGCAAGGTTGTTGAAAGGCAACCAATTATTCCATATTGGAAATGCTGACCTAAATTCCAAACTAAAGGCAAACAATAGATTACAGTTATCATTATGGATTTAAAGTGAGATTAATATCAACCGAGCACCTTTGAAGGTAGGTGAACTACAAAAAAAATTAATTTGTCCATATGGAATGCAGTCAGCTATTTTTCTATTCCTCATCCTTTTAAAATCAGGTGACAGAATGAAAAGAATGAGGTTATATAAGGAAAAAACGTGTATTTCTTTAATTCTGCAATTGTATTGACAGTTGAAATTTTCAAAATTACATTTTGTATCATGAAGCAAAAGAAATATACTTACTGACCTCATGTAACTAAAGGAAATAACTGCTGAATTGTTAAAGCAATAGTTTACTGAATATTTAATGCCACAAATACTACAGTTTAAACGGCTATGCCCACTCATACTTGTTGTAAAAAGAATCGCGATTTCAGAATCCCTTTCAATGTGGGGTGGAGAAGATGGTGACGCAATATGTGTAGCAACCAATGTACTAGACTAAAGAGAAGGCGGGATTTAGACTTTTATATATATATATATATATATATATATATATATATTGGGTGAATGGTGAGGCTCCTATAGAGGAAATTTCAACGGTAAATTAACTGAGAAAGCTCCTTTCACTAGCAACTTCCCATCTGAAAGGTGGTTGGAGATTTGATAAAGAGCAGTGAAGCTTAGAGGTCAAATATTTCATTCCTTTAAGGAAAATGCATGCTATTGTACGTTTATTATTATAACTTACTGTACAATACATCATAAAATAAACGTCGCCACCTTAATTAGATTTCTTTCTAAACCTCAATGTTCTATCACAATGATACTAATAATGCACAACTATTTGAGCTCAGTCGTGTGTAGTGGGTGATTACGAATCCAGTTAAATTAACAGTAGTGATAACGGGGAACGTTTAATTAAGTCTTTACTAGCTTCTCCTTGCTTAATAAATTCAGAAAATTATCTAATGATGAAAAATTGAGCATTTTTTTAAACGCAGAGAATGCTTCATAGAGGCATACATTTGTTTTAATCTAGACATATTTTACCACCTGTTCGATCTACATACATTGCGACATAGGAAATAGATTTTCCATAATTGTATAATTCCCAACCCCCACTAAAACTATTAAGATTCAATGGGGAGTTACATTTTTATTCCGACTGCCGCCATCGGTATTAAAAAAATAAGATTTTTAGCTGTTTTAAACAATTATGCATCTGCGAAATTCAGGTTACGGGTATCACGGCATAGACATGCTGAAGGTTAAGTCGAACATTAGGATGTACATTTCATTGTAAAAAAAGCACTGACATAGAGGAGGTCTCTGGCAATCTAATCATTAATAGAATGTTCTGTTCGAAATTAGTTATGTCATCATTTGCAACAATTATTTGCTGAATGTAAGTATATCAATTGACCGGCTTAATGATAGTTATCATTAGCTCCGTGGTTGACCTCGGGCTTCACAGAGAGAAGGAATATTAAAATCACAAAAGTCGAGAGGGAAACAGATGAGTGATTTACCGTTGTAAGAGAGGCAGATACATAAGTAGAGGAAAAGGTAAGGTGGGCACTGTGGAAGTGATCGAATATGACCTACAGTGGGATCATGGTAGTTTGAAGTGAGAAGCCAAAAATCAATATTTGATTAACAATAAATGTGCCACAAGCGTTTCTTTGGGAAATCGTAAACATGTTGCTATAAAAACTAGTGAAAGTTTGATGTTTTCACAGGGCCATTTTTTTTCTGAATGCTTAAAAGTGTTGTAAGACATAAGATATAAAGTACAGTTAAGTAATTATAGAGACTAAAAATAATATCTAAACTCCTTTAATCACAAGAAAACTCTAATCTGCTAATAATTTAAGTAATAAATGAATTTTTATGCACATTGTAAATGATCGATGGATGACTAAGTCTTCGGAGATGTACAAATTTAAATAAGTATTATTGAATGAAAAAATATATATATATAGACGAGGAACTAACTGTGAGAACTACAGCATAAATGCATAAAACTATTTTCCTATCTCTCTGCAATGATTTCGTGGTTTCAGTATAAAATAGCTAGTAATATCCACTTATCATGAAAGAGGTAAACGGGTTCAAATTGTACTTGCTGCAAAAAACTGCGAACTTTGTTTAATAAGCTCATAAGTCAAACCACCACTGATGTGCATCAGATGAGCCATTTTATGGATACGAGTGAGATTCAGGTAGAAAACGAGGTTTAACTCTAGCCACCCATAAAACTATGCGGCGTCTAAAAATCTGTTTCAGAATTTGTCTCAAATAACACCTTTGACTTTCATGCAGGTAAGAAGTGCTCAACTTAGCGCACCACTAATTCCGTGATCTCCTAAGTGGCAATACTATTTGGAATATATTTTTCATGAAATAGCCTGGATATAAGATTTATTCCCTTTGAGATACGACAACTAGAATACCATTGCTTTCTCTGGCAAAATTACATCTCATGTCCTAAAAGGAATTGCAATCACTCAGCTTTCTGAGACTTGATTTAGTCATGACGTCTTCACTCTAGGGTGTTCTGGCCATTAATGCGTATTAGAGGCTGGGTATCAAACTATCCTAACCTGGTAACTGGTCTATGGATTGACACACACACACGCCGCGTAACCTCAATAGACAAAATAGAATTGGTCATATAAGACCTCGCTCAATTATCCCTACAAAATTATGCCAGAATTTATTTCATTATTAAACTTAATCTACTACTGTACAAATTTCTACCTACTAATTTCTATTAGTACTATATGTTCGTTCTTCACGACGTCCAAGGTGCATAATAGGATCAAATACGTTTAATTAACTATTAGCTGTTGAAAAGATAGGTCTATGTGAAGAGAGTGGGACTCCAAGCCTCAAATATCCACATTTAGGTTTGTTTTAAAAAAATTTCAGTTTTCGTATCTCTGTATCGGAAGCATTGCCCAATTCCACAAACTAAAATGCAACTTTAATTACATTATGTATTCCTTGTGTCTAATGAAAATCGATTTGGCAACCAGGACGGCAGAATAAATGTCAAAACAACGAGCTTATTGGAAAACACTTGGGCATAAATACTGTAAAATAAGGCCACGAGTTAATGCTTATAACTTAGCGCTTACATAACAGAGAAAACAAGCAGATATATAAACCAGAAATGTCCCAGAGAATATACCTTTCACAAATTATAAATGTCCACAAATATTGTTCACATTGGATTGCAAAGTGATATGAAAATGGTGTTTGCGCCACCTGCAGTCTTGTAATCCTATCCAACAAGAAAATGTGCAACAAAAAGTAATTATATACGTTTAAAAGTAAAATATTCTTGCTGATAATTTCCTCTTAAATCACTCAAAATGCATCGGTCAAGATTCGGTGACTGGGTCTTCATAAAATTCTAACCAAATCCGAAATGCTCTTTACCAATTGAGCCAGTCTTATGTTTGTTATTATTTTTCTTACGCAGTGAAGCTGTCAATCCTATGGAGATAAGAATATGATGCAATAGGGAACAGCTATTCAATATAAGCATTAAATCACATTGCACCAAAATTTAGATGAAGTAAATCTTTATTTCTTACGTGACTCCAATCACCAATTTCGGTTCATTCCATTCTTGCTCCTTCCAGTACGTGGAATTGTTATTCAATTTAAAAATTAAATTCACTTCGTCAAGCTAATGGAACCTTATGCGCATTAAATTTAAAAAGCACTCACCAAAAGAATATATATATTTTTACTTTTGAGGTAAATAAAGAAATGTGTTCAGATCAAAGAATGCGATCCAAACATATGTATTCTCAAAATCATACAGTAGTGATTCCTTCTTGCTTTAAGCATGGTAGGTATGGCAAAATCGTGGAATCGTTCTCCTCTTGAAAATAGGGGGGGGGGGGGGGGAGTTGCTAGGTATTATTGATTTTAGAAATAATTCTCCTCTACAATGCTCCCATTCAGTGGTAAAGTTAGTTTTCATCTCCTACAGGGGAAGCTTTAAGTAGATATAAAGAAATACAAATAGAAAATTATCACGCCGCTTAAATTCGATGTGACGAAAACCCCTAAACATTTGAGCAGTAAATGATAATGAACAACTGAAATAAAAGACGCTATTACCTAAATTTCTCACGAAGCATTAATAACAAATTGACTTCGGCGTTCCATCAAATGCGTCAATCATTGCATACTTTCTATCAGCACCGGAAGCATTTTTCGGCCAAGTGCGTGCGTACTGTCACCCAGTTCTAGATGCTTTAATTTTTCTAAAACTCTACAAATTTGGTTACTTTTCAAGTGTCACACCTTATACACTCCAATTGATATGATCATAGACATACAATTACCCCCCCCCCTTCTCCACGAATTGTCGCTTAAAACTACGAAACCGACCCACCAAGCAGCCCCTATTTCACTAATCCCATAGTAGGTATTCAATCATCTTAAGTACTCTTGATTTGGGTAGATTATAGCTGGAAATTTAGTGCCACAGGAACCCCAGTCATCAGTAGAAAGTGATAATCGTGTACCGCAACCCAGTGGATTATCAGCGGCTCTAAATTTTATGTTCTCTCCATTTTACCCATAGCACGGTCTTAGTAGCCCTTCTTAATCGAAAAAGACTCTACTGGCGCTGGATTTGCCTTCAATAACTGTATGTTTAAGTTCTACGAAATAGCACAAATCAATTAAAAAAACTACAAATTGATTTATGGCATTTGCAGGGAGTTTAGAGGTGCTTTTCAAGATACAGAAGACATTATCAAATAATTGTATTTGCAAGGCTTAATTACAGACTAAGTAGAGAAAGATGAATACAATAAAGCACGTTACTCCGAGGTAGCACCCGAATATTTTGCTGGTCCGTTTGGGCGCCTAACTCGACCCAAATTGAGGAACCAGGGTCGTTTGTCTGCCCACTCTATGATAGACTCAATGGAATCAATATCATCCGGAAATACGTCAACCTAGAATAGCAAAAGCAAACTGTCACAATAAGAAAAATTGTTCAAGAAATCACAAAAGATGGGAAAAGGCGTCTTTGGGTATTTTATGAGAAATTAAATGCAACTGTCGCAGCTATTATTTGAACCCCTATATTTTCTTTATATTTTCTGACCAAAAATGATTTGTAACGGAATCAGATACTGATGGATAAAAAATGGAAAAATTCAATTTGAAAATCTAATCCAGATGGCGAAAATTCTCTGTGGTCCTACTAAATATAGCTGTGCAAACATTCAGTTAGTCAACTCTAAATGACCATGTCCGTTATGTGATTTCACATTACGTAACAAAACTAAAGAGTTGATAAAAAGACGTTCGCTCTCTGAATTGTTGACACCTTTAATACAAACTGCGCTGCGAACTAAAATAATGCTAAAGAGAAAAAAGCACTTTCAAAAGGCGTTTTTAAACAAGAAATTCATAAGGATTTTAAAGCCAATGTAATGCTTAAATAGTCAGTTTAAAATTCCCCTTAATTTGTCACACAACTGTAAAACAGAAAACTAGATATTCCTTTTGCGACAATTTACATGAGCATCATAAATTTGTTGTCCTGGGTTGTTCTTTTTAACTATCGTTTCTTTTTCTCAGCTCTGGGCTACACTTCCACCACTAAAAGGAGGCTCAAAGGAAATAGTAAATTTGTAAAGGAAAAACTTACACCTGTCTTTTCGTAGACATCTAAGCGATAGACGCTTTGATAGTAATCGATAACGCTCGGCCAGTTGGACATTGTCAGAGCAACCAGAGGAACGGAGAGGTATAAACCTAGACGAAATGCCTCCAGCTTCCAACCCATGACCTTAACTAAAAATAAAAAAATGCTAATCATATACAGAAATTATAACATTAAATAAATGCAAACTAGGTGAACAAAAAGAAGTCCTATTCTCACTAATTAAGAGGTTACTTACGGAAACAAAATTGAGCATTTCGTGAAATACGACAACGAAAATACATTGACAATGTAAAGAAATATAATGCAAATATCTTGAAACCTTAATGGTCAATGAGCTCAGACTATATTTTCATCATGAGACCTCACCTTAAAGGAAGACCTCACTATCATGAAGCAGCCCATAATTAAGAAATAAAACACTAAAATCAGAGGCTCTTATATAATCTGCATTTTATTACTGTCCGGGCTCAAACAAAGATATTACGCATTAAACAGTTTTTAAAGAACAAAGTCGATGAAAATGGAATTATCAGACGATAGTCAAATTAAGAAATGGTGTAACTAATTGAAAACGAAATCAAGCAATTGAAATGAAACCAAATTCGTACAATAGAGTTGCAACATATAAAAAAACTCAGGATTAGCCAGAGTGGAGGAGAAAACAAAATATCATCCACGAAAATTAGGTATTATCTGCTTAGAAAATCATTCCTACATTTTCAAAATTGTGAAAAAAAAATATGAGCAAGTTTAAATGAAAGAAATAATAGGACATTTTAATCTTATCTACAAAGAAAAGTTTAAAAAACAGGGAGGAGAGGGGGTCAGAATGACCAAATGAAATGAAATACTGAGTTCCATCAGAATTCTTAACATCAAATGTAGGAAAGAACAAAAATGAAAACAGATATTCAAACCGAATCCTTCCAAATTAAATTAAGACAAATAAGATATCCCTAATAACAAACAAGCTGCAGCGAGACAGGTGGCACCAAAGTAAAAAAGAACACATTCGGAGAGCACAATCAAGACACAACAACAACAAGTGTAGAATAAATAAAGTAACAATTTATTGAGTATAAAAATAGGAGAAACGGATGATTGACAGATATTACAGTGTAGACAAGGTAGCGCGTTCACGCAAGTTACTTAGAAAATCTAAAAGAGGAATGGCTGAATCCGAAAACTGACTACTGCCGGAATAAGAGGGAATGGTTGGAGAGAGATCGCCATTAGCTAGCAACTCCTTCACAAGATTAATTGTTTCTTCCTCAATTGCCTAAAGAAAGAAAAGAGTTCCATCATAACTTAATGATATTTATTCCAAATAATAAAAAATTCACGGGGTGTGCACCCCGGGCAACGTATACTTATTCGGCAAAAAGTCTATTAATCGGCAGTTGACTTCTGACTTCAAACTATCATGACCCCACTGTATGTCATATTCAACCCTTTCACAGTACTCATCTTACCTTTTCACTGCCTTTGTGTCTGTCTCTTTTACATCTGTGAATCATTATTCTGCCCCCCTCTCGACTTCTTGTCACTTTGGTGTTCCTCGAAGTCAGCTAAAGGGCTAATTGATAACTATCGAAACGCCTGCCATTTGAAATAAATATAAATAAACAACAAATTCACTGGAAAAGAAGATGGAAGTCTCATTGCTACTTGTTTGTGAAGTTTCGTGACATACTTCGCACTTAAATCATGGTGCTTGTATCATGAGATATCTATGTGCACAGCCTACAACTTACAGAAATGGCAGCTTCAAGTTGGGCCTGCGATAGAGATTTGTCTGAGTAAGCGTCTGCCATTCGTTTCTCCAATTCAGTCCGCTTCTTCGAAGCATTTTCCATTACCATTAAGACCCGCTGGTATTGTTCCGATGCATTTTGAGAACTCGCTTCTTTAGTGGAAGACCTGTGAAA